CTTTAGATAGTGGTAGGATGATGCAAAATCCCCTGGATGCATTTTATACAGCTGAAAACTCGACAGCACAATGGGACAGATGCAGAGATAGCAGACAGGGTAATAATTGGTTATGTGACTCCCAAGTTGCAACCAGTCCATGAGTCAAAGACCCCAGCACAACCTGCAACCAGAACACCAGTCTTCAGGAAATGGGTCATTCCCGCTGGCTGGCAGCTTGGGAAGTGTTTATTCAGCGAATATTTGATGCAAGCATGGACATTCACAGTACACTGGGCAACTGGAAAGACAAAGAAGATACTGCTCCAGATACCACAGTAGCTAGTTATACTACCTACACAACATGAATTTAAATGGTGTGATTTAAGATTTGTTTTCAGGAGGCACCAGGATTGAAATTATTTTTTCCTACCAATCTTTGAGCAATACAGTATGCAGCAGAGGGAGATGAGAAGTCTGACTTCTCTACCTGTGAACATTTTAGGTTCAATTAACCTTATTTCTTTATAGCTAAGCGACAAATCCTGCAGCCATCAAACCTTGGAAAGATTACATCAGCAGCAGCTGGTCCCATTATTCCCTAACAGGCATATATTAAGATGTACATGATTTAGAAATATTCAATCACATCAACTGCTGCATTAGTAGATAGAACCAAATGTTGTACTAAAATTTAAAGTAGGAATACAAGCTCTTTCCACTTATTTTAAGCTGAAATTATTTCTCAACTAATGTAAAAGTACCATACTTGAAAGTACAAATAAGGACTGACTGGGGGCTGAGAGAGCTGGTGCTGTTCAGCCCAGAGAAGAGAAAGGAGATCTTATCCATCTATATAAATACCTGAGGAGAGGGAGCACAGAGGAGGGAGCCAGGTTTCTTCCAGTGGCGCCCAGTGACAGGACCAGAAGCAACGGACACAAACTGAAAGAGGAGGTTCAGAGGTTCCTGTTCTCACCAACTGTCCTCAGAGAAAGAATTGCATTGCTCTTGTAGCAACTAGAAAAAATTCAGTGGGATACTTGGCGTTTATACTGCAGAGCATCAAGACTGGCCCATACCACGGCTGCTGCTCTGCTCTGGCAGCACTGAGTGCATTTGGTTGTGGCACAGTGCACCTGCTGCCTCTTTGGAGAACACTTACCTTTAAGGGACAGAAATGTGGCAAGCACTCAAGCACCAATTACATGAAGGGCTTGGTGCACTTTGCAGCAACATATAATCACAAAGACACCACATCTTGCTAAAATATTTGCTTAAGATTTCTCTTCTGGTGGAATCACACCATTACAAACAGGGAGGCAAAGCAATGGTAAGCTGATTTCCAACCCCACTTCCAAAGATGAGCTCCACATATTTGCAGACAAGTATGCACATGCTCCCTGGATATTCTCAGTCCCCAAAGATTCCAGCCAGACTTGCCTGGCTTGCTTTGGACCACTTGGCATGTGATAGCAGCCGTGCACATTTGGCAGAGACATTTTTAGAAACTTCCAAGCTATGAATTCACCCTTCCATTTTGGTAAAGCCAGTTATGTGGAAAGCATTTCAAAAGCAGAACTTCAAATACAGACTTAATTTTCCCTCAATTCTTAGAAGAGGGGAAAAAAAATTACTACATTCAATTTATTTTCCCACAGTTATCCCATAATATTTCTGTATTTGCTGACACTATAACCCATAACAAAATAATTACAAGTCATATCAAATCAGTCTTTTCAGCACAGCTATGCCATATGTTAAAACTATTCCCAGTTCTTTCCCTCAGATCCATTTTTTGTTGCAAACGCTAAAAGGTGACTTTCCTTGAAAACATACATTTAATTAAATACTTAGGAAGTGGATGCTGCACACTTCAGGGATGTACTGGGGAGATGCCCATGACCCCAGCTACAGTAACAGAGATACCCAGCAGGCACCTGCTCCTGCCCACAGCCTTTCCACTGTGGCTATGTAGGAATGGAGACTGGGATCACATCTACATCCGCAACCAGCTAACCACATGTTGGTAACACAGAGAAATATCTGACAGCACTGTCGGGCTCCTGACACACCAAGGGTCAACTTCCAGACGTTCTCCCCTTTTCTACAGGTGTTCAGAAGAAGCAAACTGATCTCAGCTGGGTAGACTCCATAGCCAGAACCTGACATGGACTCTCACAGACCAGCACACTAAGCCTCTGAATCCACCAAGGCATCAGAACTACCCCCTTCTCCTCCTCAAGTGGCTCCAGCTGCAGAGCAAAACATCCATCCTCTAAATGGCTTCAGCCCTCTTTGCCGGCAGGACACAGGTAGTTAACCACCACTCAGCTGATGAGCAGTTCATTAACTCACAGCTGCTTGATTGCTACCAGCTGCCTGTCTCAGCCCCTGAACTACAGGGCAAGGACATTTCAGGCCCTTTTTAAGCTCACAGTAGTTCCTTGCTCCTTGTTTTAAATGAGTGTTACTTTTCAAGGAAAAAAGATTTTCGCTACAACTGTTTTGCAACAGTGAATCCCACTATCAGCTTGTAGCGGCCACATCTGATACCTGCTGCCTGGGGGAGAGGGAGGAACGGTCCAGGTAGCAACAGGAGCACTCCTGGTTGCTTTCACTTGTGTATGAACCCTCCAGCACAGCCCTGAACACATCTCCAGAGCCCTATTGCTTGCTCCTTCTGAGGCTCCCCAGACACTGTCTGCAGTCCTGGAGCTTCTGGCCTCAAGAGGGCTCCAACCCTTGGTCCCCAAGTCATGCCCAAGCCCAAAAGTGCAGAGCAAACAGAGGCCATCCTCTTCTCACCATTCCTGATTCGTCTGCTGCACTTGCCAGGGCAAACTGAAAGTGATAAGCACCTAAGAAAAGACTACTCCCTTTCAAATAAGTTGGTGTGATGCCAGATTTTACCCTTCACAATAGAAGCTCAGGCATGCAGCAAAAGCAAGACCCTGAGACACACCATCCTGTGTGATTCAAACCCCATCTTCATATTCAGAGGTGGCCCAAAAGGCAGATGAAAATGAAATCCCTCTGTAGACACAGAAGAACTGCACAGGCCCAACTTTTCACACTCCCTGGATAAATATTGTGAGTATCAGACAACAAACAGCTAGGCACAGCCACCTCCTCTTCCCAGGGTACCACTCCTGCTCACTTATTCAAAAGATCAGATCTAGAGACCTACCTTCATGGCAGGAACAAGGTCCATAGGTGAGGAGCAAGCCAGATACCATGCTGCAGCCTGGAGGGATAGTGTTTGAGCACACCCACTCAGCTGCCCCCAGCTGTAGGCAGTATGTGCTGATTGAGGCATCCCACCGTGCCTAGAAGGGACCCAGGGCACCTGCCACCAGCTCCGGCTCTGCCCCAGCACCCAACCACCCAGCCAGGGTGCCTGCTGCAGCACCACTTGGGGTGACTGGCCCCACGTGTTAGAGATGGTGCTTCACCAAATCACCCTTCTTGCTCCAAAGAGGAAATAACATTTATCTCGCTGTCTCCACAGGCACATCAGCAGCCTGGATGCTTTCTGGCTGCCTATGGAACGACATGGTTCAAGCACCAGGTGCTGCAGATCGACCAGTTGTGTCCTGGGGAGGATTTCTACTCTTTCTCTCTCCCAAAAGGTCCAGTTGTCCTTGATCTTTTTTTCACTTATTTCCCTTGTCTCTAAGGACTGTAAATTGACAGTTTATACAGAGCAGGTACATATGTTTACAAAAGGACTAGATGATTTTTTAAATGAAATCCAGATACAACAGAAAGCAAATGTCATAAGCAAGGTCCTTAAAAGTTAGGTTTTGCCTTTAGTGTTCCAGCAGGTCAAGGTCTGAAAGCGAAATTTTCAGTTAGAAGATGAGAACAGAGCAAAAAACAAGACATTCAGCAACAGGCCTTTTATTTTCTTCCAAACTGCTACTTTACAATCCCCATCCAAAAAGATCAACACTTTAGAAAAAGACTTCACTGAAATTCCCAGCACTGTGAGAAAGCTGCTGCCTCTTTAAAGGTTGATCTGTGTTCTGACAGGAGCATGTTGAAAAGATAAACCCAGTGAAACTTCCTGCAGACAGTCGTGCTGCATTACTGCTTACAGCAGAGCTCTCTCCTCTGCTTAGCATCCCAATATCTGAGAGATTAGCAACAACCTATTTTTATATTGCATCCAGATGAGGGAGGAAATACTGAGGCAGCTGGTGTCTGACCACCTGCAGGTACTGTGTTTCAGAAAGACGAGACTGTTTTCAAGCTGGCTGAAAAAAATAAAGGCATACTGCTACATCTGGCCTAGGAGCCATAAATAGTCCATAAAATGAGAATTTTATTGACTGCTCTGAAGTTGCATAAAAAGGCACTGCACTGCTGATTTGGAAAATAGGAACTGCTGCTTAGCAGTTCATTTGAAATGTATTTATAACCTAAATAAACTTCATGTCTTAAGTATGACTTGTATTTAAAGCCCTATTTTCCAAGACTGGGAGACAGGTGGACACACACACTTTTATCACCCCCTGTGTGTTTGTACACGTCTGTGCAGAAGGTTACAGGGAGGAGCAGGCTCCAGAGAGGGCAGCAGCCTGAGGCTAGAGGTGATGCATGTGAAATGCAATAGCCAACATCACCCAGCTGGATGAAACCTGCTCCACTGCAGCCCCAACTTGCAGATTACACAGCGCTCTCCTTGGTTAGCAGTCTGCTCACCAGAAGACTTCTTCCAAAGCAAGGCTTTTATTATTATTAAAAAGCACATATGCACAGACTTTGTACAATGTATCTTTAAGCTGAGTAATTTCTCTTATTCAAACCCACAACATGCACATTGTCAATTTATTTCAACCTTTGTGTAGTATCTCAGGAGAGGTTGTTAGGAAGGCTGCACTGAAATATGATGAGTAAATAATATGGAAAAAGCCACATCCATTCTGTCTAGTCCATGTATTACTTCCAGGGCAAGAAAAGGCTCTCACCTCCAGGCAGGGGTGCCCTCTGCGGGAGGTACCGAGCTTAGTGCAGGTTGATATCAACACTTCAGGCAGAGCCCTTGTGTTTGAACTCAATTTCAAATTCCAACTTTTCTTGTTTATGCACACAGCCACACAATCACTTCAACTGTCCCGTACTTCGGTTTTGACCACTATAACCTGCTGCCACTTCCAGATTTAACCAAGCTTGCAGCAGCTGCCAGCAAAAGGGTGAGCTGTCATTGAAAGATTCATTCACTAGATCTTAACAGTAGGTACCAGATAATCGACTGGTCACCTCTTCCCTCTAAACATACTATTGAAAACTAACCTCAAAGGCAACCTAGCCTCCACTCTCTATATATAAACATACACTGCAACTTGCTTGACATCCTGTTTCTTAGGATATATGTAGCACTGCCTTTTATAACTATTTAAATTAAGGCAGTATTTAACTGTTCTGTGTGAATTTCCTAAACAGAATGTCAACTTTACAAGCCAGCTCTGAAGCAGCAATGAAACAATTTCCAAAGGGGAAGGCAACATCAGTTTTAAGAACATTGCAGCGCAGTTTTTGGCACTTCAAGGTACGACATGGAGTATGGCTGGTTGTATTTATGTTGCGAAAGCAATCAACTCCCGTTACTAACATGCAAGAGATAGGGAAGGTAATCATTCTAAAACATTTTACTGAGAAAAGATCAATTATACGAGCAAGAGAAAAACTTTCAAACATACAACTTGACAGTATTTTGCAAATATAAAGTGGCATTTTATAAAGAATCAACAGACTGGCAGTGTAATTCTCAAATATATGGTGCAAATTAACGGTAACAAATGGGGCTCCTATTTTTGCTTTGGTCAGAGCACTCCGAAGGCCAGAGGAACAGAGCCAGACCACACGTGTGCTACGCTCCCAGAAAAAACAATCCATACGCAACCACTGCACCAGTGTGTTTGCATTGGTTTAAGCAAGAGTATTAAGTATTAAACAGAATTTTCACACTAGAAGTTATTCAGGCTCTTTCAATCTGTTAGACTTCATTTTTAAACACAACTCGGTTTACAAAGATACAATAAATAGTTTATTAACGGAACGTACACGAGTTTCTCTCTTCCATCCTTCATCTTACTCCCAGCACCTTACACAGAGTCAAAGCAGCTTCCAGTCCAACCCAAGGACAAAAGTTAATTTCAAGGCAAAACGAAGAGAGGTTGAAAGTTAAGACTGGCATCTTTGAGTGCCTAGCTCTTCAAGTGTTTTTCTCGTTCCCCAAACCTACAGGCAAATTGGTGTTTCTCCTTTCCACGCCTTGATCTACCTGCTTCTTCCCGACTTGTGCTCGTTTGAGCTCTTCTTAGGCAGGTCACATGCTCCATAGGGACAGGATAAAGTCATGCCTGCTCTAACACTCTTTCAGCTATTGCAATATCCCTTTATTGTTTTATTTAAAAGCTCTACCATTATTATGTCATCTCTTTTTGATCTTTTGCAATAGTTCAGTTTAGTTTTGAAATTTTACAAAAATGGAAAGAGTCTTTTTTTCAAAATATAGAGCACTGTGGCCAGGAATAAGGCAAGAGCAAGAAAGATGAGCATCTTGTCTGTCAGCTCCCTGCGATTGTACTTTGTTATTAGCTTTCGCCCCAGCTGAATTGTCCCAGACATGGACTTAAATTCTTCATTTGCTTCCAGAATGGTTCGTGAAGAATTGGCTGAAATTAAGGGGGAAAAAAAAAATCAGCTGATTGTGCTTCAAAAACACATGACAAAGGATAAAAGCATGTCATATTTGGCAATACAGAAAGTGCTTGTGAGATCCTTGTGGGTCAGACTGATTTATGGGCAAGACAAATGCAGAGTCTGTTCTTGCAGTAGCTTTCACAACTCAGTAATCCTGATGTGCTAAGGAAAAATGCAAAGCAAGAGTACTGAATGGCTTAACGGCCCCTGCATTCTCTTCCTGAATTTTTAATTTTTAGGTTATCAGATCAAATCTAGTTCACATTTTTTTATGAACGAAGTCAATGCTACCTGAGAGCTTGCTGGAAGCGGAGTGAAATAAGAATGGTGCTAGAACCACCAGTTTAAGAGAGAGAAATCACCATCACTATCAGCATCAGTTCTAGCAGCAACAGGACAGGTCAATATTTGAATATATGAATTGCACAATGGAAACTGTTCCCTCAAGCCAGAGCAGTAAATCCATATGATTCAGATAGGGCTGCAGAAAGTAAAAAAGCAGCATGCAGCAGTAAGAGATCCTTAATTATTCAGCTCAAACAATTTAAATAATTTTTAACAGTCATTTCTGACAAACTTTTTTTTTTTTTCCTAATAAAAGAGAAAATCAACTAGAGGAAAAGTGTGTTGACTGATCCCAACTGAAGACAGAATTTGAGAATATGCCAAAACAGCAAGATGGAACACTTGTCCCTTTCAACTTCTCTTTCTCTGTAAGAAAACAAACAAGCAAACACCTCAAACTCCTCAGTCTTCCTCCTTTCAAATTGCTAAATGAAAGCAAAAGCTCAGGCGTCCCCCTTTTCTTATATTACAGAACACATAGCCTGGTTGACAGTGAATGCTGGTATAACATCCTATACTGAACTGATCGATTAAAGAAAGGTCAAACTCCAAGCATGTCGTCTGGTTCAGAAAACCAAGCATAATAGAAATACATCTGTTATATTTTGCAAATCATTATGCCCCATCTTAAAGAGGCATTTTGATCCAAGTGAAAAGAGAAAAACTGTTTCCCATCATTAATGCAAAGCAGAGCTTCCCTGCTTCACAGCCACATATATTCACTGCACCATAGGAAAGGACTTGCTCAGAAAAAAGGAAATTCTAACTACTGATTTGGAATTTGCAGCTGGGTTTTGTTAATGACCTTTGATAGTTTTTCCCATGATGAACTCCAAGTGCCGTTCAGTCAGAAATAGAGTGAAAAAGTGACTGCCAAACTGTCTTTTTAATGGGAGAAGAAACATGCTACTTTTGCTGAGCAAACCGTGCCCAGCTGCCATGTTCAGATGGGGGCAGAAAACAAGGAGGGCAAAAGTTGTGTTATTTATCCTTGTCTTTAAACTGTTCTCTCTTCTGCGCAAAAGCACAGCTAGTAAGAGGCCCAGGCAAAACAGATCCAACTTCTAAATGCTTCATGAATCATCTGTTCTGACAGGTCACTTGATTTATGGTCTTAGGAGTCGAAGCCAAAGAACTGGGTGAAATCTTGGTTTCACAGTCCCTGATGCACTGCTGACAGAGCAAGTGACCTCGGGTTCAAGTCACTTGATCTCCTTGTCTCTTAGTCATCCCAGCTGGAGACTGGGTGAAAACAGTCTTCCGGCCATACTATGTTTCCTCTGTGTATGGACTTGTACCTACGCTTTTATTTGCTCTGCTATCACCAAATGCATGCTAGGACAGTAACACCAAACATGCTCTTAGCACCATGTGAACTTACATCGCTTTTACAATTGCTTTTACGTGAAACTAAAGCAAAAGCTCCTTATCTTGCCCCTTTTCCTTTTTGTAATCATGAGACAGAAACTCCAACAAACAGCTCCATGCAATGTACATTATTTTCTGTTTATGTCCAACTGTTAGAGGAATTCTGCTGGACAGTTCTTTAATTATCATTGTAGTAGGTTTTCCTACAGCAAAGCAGGATTCCACTGTGCTCCACATCACATCAGTTTGCCTCTTCCTATCCTAACAGAACTGGCAAAAGTTGCTTCAATAATCCAGTCCATACCCAAACACCCAAATAACATCTGTACCTAGGGTTTGCACAGTCTCCTCGCTCTGCTGGACTTGCTGTGACATCATCCTGCTAATGCCCATCAGACTCTCTGTGATGTTACTTGCACTCTCTGCCAGACTTTCTTTTGTAGTCTTCCTGAAAGGGAAAAAGTAAAGCAGGAAAGGATAAAATTATGCCTTTGGGTACAGTGGGGAAAATGCTGCTGCCAGGGATCAGAACTGAGCTTGGCACCAAACACCTCTGTCAGTGTACAAAAGACACAACTAGTTTTTACTGCATAAAAAATACAGATTATCTTCACTAAACAATCAAAAAGCGAATCATAGAGTATTAAAGTCATGAGACAAAACTGCTAGTGGCTCAGAATCTCACAGGGGCCCACATTTCACCACTTACTCATCCATGACTGTACAACTTCATGAGCTGGTGTGGAAGTGCTGATACAAACCACCACTTTATTATCCTGGGTATCCCATTTGTCACTTCATAATACTAAATACAACTTTAATATTTAGATACAACTTTTCAATACAGAAATTATAAAATCTTACATCCCATTCTTCATGTAAAAACAGCTTGTATAATGATCCATTGCTTGTTTATAATCCTGAGTGGGATTAATGTAAAAAACAGTCAGAAAAATATGAAGGCTAACTTATCCCCTTTCCCACTTAGACATGCCACGCATGAAATTAAGTGAAATTATCACAGTCTATAACAATTTAAAACTCCACAAAAGGTAAATGCACTCATAAAAGAAAAGCTATACTCCAGATACAATTAAATAACTTATAAAAATTATATATAAAATTAAAACTAGTGAATATGGCATACACTGTTTAAATCTTAGATTGTAATCTAATACCTTTGCCTTAAGGAGTCTCTAGGGCGAGCGGCAGGCGGCCGATCGGCGCTGAACAACGCGCGTCTTGTGTCCCGAGTGCCGCCGGTATTACGGAATGGTTCAGTTCTTCGGGTAGGCGAACGCCCCTTGGTGCCCCGGGTGGAAGCACAGCGGGCGGTTTGTCGGCGGAGGTGGGTCCCTCGCGAGCTGGCAAAGGCCCAAAGCAGCCCCTGCCACAGCACCCGGCTGCACGGGCCTCGGAACCTGCACGGTTTCTGGGGAGACAGGCCTGCAGAGGCGAGGTCCCTGACCCTCAGCAGCGGCGAGGAAGCCGGGGAACATGAGGTACCTTCTGTACCCCTGAAAGCAGGAAAGGGGAGGCAATACAACGGCCCTTTTGCTTTTTCCATTAACTCCTCCCCTGGTGCCGTATCTTCCCCCGCCAGCTCTGGACTAAGCTAGCAGGTGTTGAAGATGGAGACCCCTTCCATGGCCACTGCAGAAAGCCAGTCAAAGGACCTGCTGGGCTGCAGTCCAGGTCGTCCGGGTGGTCCCACCATGCTGACCCAGCAGCCTTGCAAGGCAGCAGTTTGAGTGCTCACCCGGGGCAGGGTAAAACAAGTTCTTTCCTTACCTAGCTATGATCCTTTCCAAGGGAATGTTGCTGACAATACCATTTCCAAGGGAATGTTGCTGACATTACCAATACAATACCAAGACTGAGAGCATTTACTTCAAGGTAGCACATGCTCTTTGCTATCATTCCACAAATACAATGATTCAAGATGATATTTCCTCCACAATTTTTATTTTAAATTACAAAGGATGTTGCATACATTGATGAATTTGTATCTGAATAGAAGTGCTAGGGATCAAGGGTGACAGAGTAAACAAAGTCAATAGTTCAATTGTGCCTCTTTTCAAAAAAATAAAAACTGCACAACTATTAACCAACATTAAACATTGCAACTCTTAACAGATCATGCTTTTAACAAGGTAAATTTATTTTCTAACAGAGACAAGACTTTCAGTAAGTTTTTCTGAGCTCCAGTTGGAAGTTGATTATAGAATATCAAAGGACAGCATTACAATCATGACCCCAAGCATATGCAGAACAGGATGCCATGTTTTGTTTAAAATGCTTTTTTTTTTGCCTGTCAACCACCCATGTCCGCATGTGCCATCAGCCTTGAGAGTTCACTCAACCACAAATACTGAGCAGTAAGTTTTACTTGGACATAATAATCTAGGAGGATAGATGATTCAAACCAGAATGTATGAATCTTATTAATCATTCTTATAATGATGGATAAAATGCTACTACTATGTTCTGTTTCTTAATTGGAAGATTTTGATAGAGCAGAGTGTGCTTTTGCCAATACCAAATCCAATCCAGAAGTTTTCTTTACAGTAGGCTAGTTAACTCACCCAAATCTGACTTACACAGATACTTTACAAAATATTTTTTAACTTAAGAAAACCTCTGAATGCTGATATTATCTAAAAAGTTTGGAGTTTTATTTTTTTAATGGAAAAAAAAAAGTGTGGCTTAAAATAGCTCCATCTCCACTTTTAACTCCACAGCTCATTAGAAAGACAATAAGTGCATAGTCAGTATTTGCTCTTGTGGAAGTTCATGAATGTCTAAGAGGCTGAGGATTATAATTCAGTGCGCACACACACCTTCTTATCATGCTAGAAGCATTGGGGGAAAAAACATGGCATATTGTGAAATGTAAATTGTAGAAAGATAGAGACATTTTTGTATGCTGCAAAGAAGATAACCTAAAAGTGCCATCTTTCATTAATGACATTTAAGAATCCCAATTTATATTGGGAGATATTCAAGAGTGGTGTTTTCTCAACATACTAATGCCCTTAATATAGTTACAAGAAGAATCAGTCACTGAAGCAGTAACTGTTTGAAATGTACTTCACACGATCCCTGGGGTAAACAAAATAAACCTCAGCTGTGTGCAAGGCTGTGTCAATAAGCCAAGACCACATCTAGCAGCACACTTAACTGGATAATTCCAACTGAAGCCTCCAACTTAAAGAGAAAATAAAATCATTAGGTGCATTCTTGAATTTAGGGTCTCAAGGCCAAATACAGATCCTAACATTCACGGGACATAATTGGCCTATGCCTCAACAGAATTTCAGGAAGACTAGCAAGCACGTTTGAGGAACAGAATTGCATTTGCTATTTCTGCTGAAGGCAACTTGTATACAACCCTTTGAAGTTCTGATAAAACCTTTTAGAGCTTTAAAAAACCTGCTACGTTTAAGTGATTTATGGAAATAAAAGCACATCCAGTCTTCCTATTTTGTGAATAAGCTAACTTTTATTAATGAAGGCAAATATCAGATAAATATTAGGGGGGGATCTTTTTAAGATAAAATCAAAACTGACACCACTGTTTGTCAGAAGTGTCTGGTTGCTTTTAGGTTAGTTGAAAGACCCTTCATCCTTTTTAGTTTTTTGTTTGTTTGCGTTTTTTAAAAAGACCTTTTTCCTGGCCCTTTTAATATGGAAAAATGTCTATCTATAAAGAAATAGGAACTGAACACAGCTGAGCCTGACTCTCACATCAGCTTTATAGCAATGCAACTTCAATAAATCACAATGATTTCAACTGGTATGATAAGAAAATCCAGCCCATCCACACATAAACATAGCTTTAGTAGTAAGTCTCTCTCATCCAAAAAAAAAAAAAAAAAAAAAAAAAAAATAAACCATAAAAGGAAGCGTTAGCAAAAGGGGTTTAGGGCTAAAAAACACCCTTCATGAGCACCCCCACATTTTGCAAGGCCATTCAAAAACTGGTCTTCCATATAAATACAAAAGGACTACTACTGAGAGAAACTGAAATCAGATCTATCCAGACTTTCTTTAGGATGCTTTTATCAGTTCTGATTCAATTTCAGAAGGATTAGGTTTGAAGAGTTCAGAGGGAATGAAAAACATTTAGTTCTAGATGTACAAGTAAGGCACAATATAAAGCCACATCATCATCTGTCATGAGGGAAGTAGGAAAGGACAAGAATCATACATGGTACAGTAGAACAAGCAGTCCATCAATTCAAAGTGTGGCACCTAAGTTCAGACTGACGAGATCTCAACAAGAGCAGTTATGACAGCATGCTTTTAATATGGAAACAAATTCTAGAGAATCCAGTGTATCAGAAAAAGGAAGAACTTTTGTCTGTATTAAATCAAAAATGTGTAATTGTTTTTGGATATAGGATTAAAAGTGAATATTCACAATGCCTACACTCAAAAACAAACAAAAAAATCCAGGACTTCATTAAGATCCACATACCATGTATGAACACTGAAAATCTTTAGAAAATGGTCTTCTCTAAAGATCATCCAAAAATGCATGCCACAATTGCAAAAAACAGAACATGTACATTTGTTGGTTTTTATATCCTTATAAGATTTTTGTTTGTGATAAGTATACACTAAATGTATATATTTTAATGACACTAGAGGAAGCAGATTGTTACTGGCATTAAAGTACAACCATTTCTAGACGGTTTAAATGCCACAGAGTCCCCTGGTTAAAATGTAAAGCTGCACAGCTTGCCTATGTCACCTTTATGATAAAGTTAAACCAGCAAAAGGTCTTATCTTTACTCTACATTTTACTGCCAGGTTTTATTTATATCAAGTATCGCTGCAGCATTCTGACCAGCCCAGAGTTAGCAGCAAGTGGCAGGAATCATATAAAACGCAGTTTCTTTTTTTTTTTTTTTAAACAAAGTGCTTTTCTAAGATATACATACATATAAATAGGTACAAAATAAAGTGTCGACATTAAAAAGCTCAACTATTTAAAAGCTTTAACTTAAAATAATACATAGAAAACACTGAAATGCAAGGGTATGGAATTCACTAAAGATTCAAAGTCTACTTTGAAATGCTAGACCAAAATCATATTCTGGTTTTCAGACAAAAATAAAAAGCTATAAAGTTGTATTTGCCCAGTATTTCTGAGCAGTAAAAAAGGGGCTTTTTAATACCTTGTCAGTTTAATTTGTCACAGAAGTTTTTATCCAATTGCAAAACTGCTCTCAATGTTAAGAAATGCTGCCTTGTCTACACAGTTCGGATATAGTGTAAGAACCTCTCGTATCTGAGCAGTGTGTTAACACCATTCATGAGAAAGGAACAACGGTATTGAAAAATCTCGGTACAGACATGGCCTTAACTTCACAAGAGACATTCTTTGTCAGGATTTTACGGGCCGTATGCATCTCCGGAATAACTGCAACACTGGCAATAATTACAATAGGAATACATCTGACCCACTGTGGAAAGCAGCAGCCAACCCTCACCTCACCCTAACAACAGCAACAAAAACACCTGAAACAAAAACACCCACATTCCACTCAGATTTTGCAAGTCTTAAGTGGATTTACAAAGTTTTGCCTAAATTGCCCTGGGTATTTGTTCAGTCTCTTGTAGGAAAGACTTTCTGTACAGCTCAGTAGTGGTATTTTGGCCTCTTCCTCCCTTTGAGTCTTCCAAAATATTAAGATAAAAAGTAAGCTGTGTGCACACTCACAAGTATGTGGCAGGACTGCCACCTTCATCGGCCACTCTTACTGCACTATTACCAATTCATTTTTTTTTTTGTATAGTACAAGCTTGGATATAAAAATAATCTACTTATAAACAAAAAGGAATCACAGTACAAACAAACTTAGAAAAACTAGAAATGAAGTGGAGAAATTCCCCAAAGGGAGTGGGGAGAAAGCCTTCATGGACTTTTGCATTTCTTTTCAGCAGCTACATTTGAAAATATTTGGTATTTCTATTTTCAGTAAACAGTGTTTTGTCATCTTTAAATAGGGAGAGAAAGAACAGGGAGGAAAAGGGGGGTCCATGAAACCAGAGAATGATCTTGCCTTGAGATAAAGGACTTTCTCATCAAAGGCTAAAGCTTTTAATCTGTACGTTAACACTGACTACAAAGCCAACTCTTATTAGCAGAAGAGCAAATAAGAACTGTGTGTTAATATTCCTCAATCATAGAAACTACTGAATTAACAAGATTAAGTCACATATAAGTTTGAAGAAGCTAGTTTCGAAATACCTGTACAAAAATATAAAAGTCTATAAATTTTTTTTGTTTTGTTTGAAGCCTGTGTTGATCCTTGGAAACATCACATGCATAATAATACATCAACTGGAAAAGTGGCAACTAAGGAATTAGATATCTGTAGCTCTTTTTTCTCTTTACATATATACACATTACAATAAAAATAATTTTATTTTGGTTGTTTGGTGGAAGTATACTACAACAAGCTAAATATTTTTTTTTTAAATTCTCAAAGTTGAAAACTATTTTACCAATAGTTTACTAAAATCCAAATATATTAAAATCTCCTACAGTAAGTGCAGAGAAAAAAGATTTAAAGACTCCGAGACGGCCACCAACTTATCTACCATGGAAGCGAACTACAAGAACAGCAAAATAATATTGTTATGTATGAATGCTCCTTCTGTAGATAATTGGACCCAAACAAAAAAATTCACAGTTCAGTAAGATCCCTAACCCTGACCTTTAATTTTTTTTCTTTTTTTTTCATTTGTTTTTACATTCAGTACAGTATCATATAAGCTGTGCAAAACTTTACTTAGACTGGCAGTTTGCCATATCAGTTGCATTTGTCTTTGGTACAAAAATAAACAATCGCATTAATGTGCAAGTATTTGTTTTCTTCCGGCCAAAGTACCGAAATTGAGTTTTCTAGAGCCATCTTTTATACAATACATAGACTCTGTGGCATATATCTACATTTTCAACATATTCCTATATACATTCAAAAATTTTAAGAGCTGGAACAAATACATTAAAACCTATAATCTTACCATCTATACATCTTGGTTTTTCCCCTCAGGGTTTTCTTCATACAAAACTTTACCAGCTTATACTGATAGCTCTCCCCCCAAAATACAAGGCACAAAGAATATACTTTTTTTTTTTCTCTTGCTTGCACAGACATTTAAATACTATATTAAGCTCAGAAAATTAAAGTCTTATATGGCACACTAGCTCTAATGCCATGTGTGCTATGTACAAGTTAATGGTTGCAAAGAAAGCTTACTGTTTTTTAAGAACAAAAGAAAATCCAATTAAAAAAAACCAAAAAACTCCCTAAACTGACAACTTTACCAAAAAAACGCTTCCTCTTTTTTTACTTGGAGCATAAACCTGTCACAATGTCTGGCATATGCTAGAAATTTTTACTAGCAAAAACATAGTTTTGCTTCTAAAACAAAAGTGATATATTCTGGTCCTAGATAATTTTAAAAAGAATCCTCATTTCCATATTTAAGTTAAAGCAGCTTTGAAACTACCTGGTTTATGGTCCAAAAATGCTATTAAGCATTTTATATCATGCTTTGATTTGTTTTACTACATTGTTATTTAAAAACAATGGAACCCAATTGTAAGTGTTTACATAATGCTCAATCGACATGCAGACCAGAATGTAATTTACAGTGAATGAAGTACTTGACAACACAGGTAGAATCTGACCAGAGAACAGCTGAAGTCATGTCTTAAACTTTTGACATTGGTATTCGTAGCCCTACAAGGCCACCGGTGGGGTCTCCTTCTGCAGTCTTCTCTAAAACTTGATTCACAAATTCTGATGTCTGTCCAGCTACAGGTAGTCCTAA